TAAAAACAACAAACCAATCACCCAATCAATCTATGAATAATGGAAATAAAGAAAATATCCGCCATAAGCATCCACGTTATGCCGTACCTGCAAGGGCTTTGTGCCCTCTCGCCGCGTAAAGAGACTGTTGGGTCGGGGCCTTTACACCCCCAAAAGGAGAAACTGCACTAAATTTTTCGTCAAGCGCAGCATCTTCACCTGTCCAGAGGGCATGATTAATGCTGCAGCTCACACTGGATGCACGGTCGAACAAGCTCAGAGCGTCTGAGCGGGTGCCACCGCCATGGGCTGCAACGGCGGTGCGGGTGGTCGGTACGACGACGCAACGGTGGTGCCTGAGGCGTACGACGATGACGTCATTTCGTGGGGCTTCCGCACCTCTTCGTCGCTCTCCTCGCCATCGCGCAGAAGCGCCTCCAGCCCTCCACGCCGCGGCTCGCGCAGCTCCTGCCAGTGGCGGTCCTCCGCGTACCACACAACGACGCCGTACACAGTGACCGCAAGCAGCACAGCGGTCAGCAGCAGCACGATCGCCACGTACGCCCTCGCTCCGCCGTCGCTCGGCGCAAGGTGGTTGGCCGCGCTGACCAGGCACAGTGCCGCAAGGAGCACAAAGCTCGCAGTCTGCATCACCGTCAGAAAGGCCGAGCGCATCATGTTCGTGAAGGCAACCACGCCCGCACCCGCAAGCAGCACAGCCGCCATGCAGAAGTACAGGACGTGGCAGCCTCCCACGGGCGAGTGCACAGCCGCAATCAGGCACACCACACACAGCACCGACAGCTGGAACACGCACCAGTACACGCGGCTGCCCCTCATGTTCGTCAGCATGCCGCCGTACATCCGCTGCTGCGCCGCGGGGTGCCAATACCCGACGGGGTACAGCAGGCGCTCGTGCAGCGGCTTCCTCGAAAACTGCCAGTACTTCGTGAAGCTCCCGCCCGTGTGGCGGGCAATAAAGTAGCACACACCAGCAGGGAACGACACTCCGTACAGCACGCCAACGACACCGATCACGCGGTGCTGCACGCGGGCGCCGGGCATCGCCAGTGCGAGCACGGAGCCAAAGAAAATGCCGAGGTGCATAGCCTGCGCCACAACGTACGTCAGGCTCGGGAAGCGCATCGCCGCCCACGCACTCGCCGCGTCCACGCCGCGCCACCGCTGGAAGGCCGCCGCCACACCGCAGTGCACGCATCCGAACACAGCGGCGAGCAGCGCGTTGCCCACCACCATCCACAGCGGGTCAAGGGCAGCGAACACCGACAGGAAGTACGGCAGCGCAACGGTGCTCGCACGCTCCTGCGCCGAGGCGCATGGCATCCTCGCAAACACGCCGAGTGCCTGCATCTCCAGGATGGAGCCCAGCCCGCCAGTCACCACCACGGCAACAGCCGTCGCACCCGCAACGACGCCGGTGATCGCCGAGAGGGCGCTGGCAGCAGCGGGCAGCGTGTTCGACCTGATCGTGAAGGACCCAAGCAGCACACCCCTGCAGCCGCCGGACACCGCCGCAGCGTCGCAGCGAATGACTATCGTCTCGTCGGCAGCAATGAAGTAACCGCGGTGCACGGGCACAGCCAGCTCCAGGACGGTGGACGGATTCGTCGCGTTGCGCACCCACGTCGCGTTGCTCAGCATCGCTCCCCACGGACCGCCAAACCCACTCGGCTGCGCCGTCGACACAGGCACAAAGCTCAGGTGCGTGCCGAGCTGCGGATCGCGTGCCCACCGAAACGGCGGCGGCAGCGCCACCATCAGCAGTGTCGGGGCGGCGCTCCCACCGCCGCGGATGTCGTTCTGCGTCAGGCTCCCACCAGCCGCCGTCGTCGTCACAGCAAGCGTCGGGCACGCCACGTCGCCCCACCACAGCGTGCCGCTCACCGACGCCGTCGGGGTCCGCGTGGGCAGCAGCGCCACCGTCTCCGTCACCTGCAGGGTCTCCGTCGGCCCGTACTGCGTCGGACTGTAGTGCTCGGTGCTCAGGCGCGGTGTTGGCGTCCATGTCGGTGTCAGGCTACGCGTCTCCGTCAGCGTCGCCGTGTGGCTCAGCGGCGGCAGGGCAGGCGTGCGGTTGCACCCGTCCACGTGCGGCAGGTACACCGGCAGGCAGTCACGCCCGTACCCGCCCTCAGAACAGCGGCAGCGGCACGACACCGACATCGCCCTCGTCGCAGCTGCAAAGCAGCTCACGTCGGCTTCGCACACGCCACACGCCACGGGGCGGAATTCCCCGATGATGCCGGCGGACCTGTAGTCCATCGGCTGCAGCGCCTGCCCGTTAAGCGTAAGGCACCCCACGACGAACCTTCGGCCGGCGCCCCCGAGCGCAACGGTGCCGTCCATCATAACGGGCCCACTGCCAGCGTTCCCGTGGAGCGTCAGCGTGCTCTGCACGAAGTCCGCACGGCGCGGGTACGACGGCACCGACAGGAGCCTGCCGCTGATGCTGTTGCCGCGCACCGACAGCCACGACCAGGACACAAACGACGCCGACCCCCGCAGCACCAGCAGCGCGCCATCGGTCAGCGCACCGGCGTTGTCGTTCACTACGACGGCGGACGCGTTGGACTCCACCCCGCTGTAGAACACCAACCCATGCGCGGCGTACACCTGGCTCCCCGACACGCGCAGCACAGCGCCCCCAGACGCAACCACGCGCGCACTCGCGTACAACGCATAGTCGCCACCGAACACAGCCGCGTCCAGTGCGACACCGCCACCGACAAGCTCCAGCACAGCGCCGTCCACCACCACCGTCCGCCCACCAGTCATCACGGTCACGAGGGCAACGCCAGACACAACCAGCACGGACCGCACAAGCCGCAGGCCCGACAGCACCAGCACCGGTGCGTACGGCGAGGACTGCGAGTCGAGAAGATACACAAGCGGCGTCGACCTCGCGGCAACCAACAGGGAGTCGGTCACCGTCAGCACGGACCCCGCGGGAAACGTGCCGGTCAGCACAAGCACACCGTTCAGCGCCTCCACATCGCACACCGACAGCTCCACCGGCCCGCCCTCGTCGCTCCCCGCCGACACCGCACCGCGCAACGCTCCACCGCCCATCACGTACAGCACGGCGCCGTTCAGCAGCGACACGTTCTGCACAACGATCCGCACGCCGTCCCGCGCCATCCACGGCACGTACAGCACAGGACTCACGCCGTCCAGCACAACGTGGCGCAGCGTCACCTCGCTCGCGCCGGCAGGCACAACGAACACAGAGTGCACCGTCACGCCCTCGCGGACAAACACTCTCGACGCAGTGCCCACAGCGGGCGGCAGCGCGGGAGCACCCACAGGCACGCACGCCTCGCCGTACCCGCCGCTGCCGCACGCGCACACGCACACACCGTCCTTCATGCTCGCCGACGCCGTCCCGGGCGCGTAGCAGTGCGTGTCCCTGTCGCAGGCGTCGCACCCAGCAACGTCGATGCTCCCAGCGTCGCCAAAACCAGCCGCTGCGTACTCCTCCGCCGTCGACAGGACACGTCCACCAGCGTCGTTGCACGCAACCCTCAAATGCGCCCCAACCGCAAGCGACAGGCTCACCGACAGCATCCGCGGCAGCAGCGCTCGGTTGCGCACAAAGCTCAGCGTGCTCCCAGCAGCGGTCACGGCGCCAGCGGCGTAGAGCATCTCCCTCAAGACGCCGTCGTGCACGTTGCCCTTCGCCTGCAGCATCGATCCGCCGGCCAGGCTCACCGTCGAATAAAACGCCACCGCGTAGTCCCCCGTCGACGAAAAGCCGTTCCGCACAAGCGCCACAATGGAGCCCGACACGCTCACAGCCCCACGCGCAGACACCGCGTGCTTGCACAGCAGGAAGTCGCTGTCAACAAACGCCACCACGGAGCCGCCGCTGGCCGCAACACCGCCCTCCACCGACACGCACAGCCCCAGCGCCGTCTGCACCGAAAGCCCGTCCACGTACAGCGCACCGCGCGACGACAGCGCCACGCCGCCAAACACCAACACGCCAACAGCGTCGCGGAACACAGCCGCCACGTGCGTGCGCGCGATGGTCAGCACGCTCCCCGTCAGATTCACCTTGTGCAGCACAAGGCACGCGGAGGCGTCGCCAAGGTCGTAGGCGCCGCGGTACGCAACACACGCCTCTGCAATCAGCACCGAGTCCACCACAGCGACGCGCGAGCCCGGCGGAAATCGGTTCGCCACCACCACGCCGCCGCCGGAGCGCGACTCAAGCCCGCTGATCAACACATCGGCGCGCTCGCCAGCAGGTGGTTCGGACCGCCACCCAACAACGTACAGGCTCGCTCTGCCCACAAACGTGCAGTTCGCCAGCGTCACGTTGCGCACGCTCCCTGACATCGAATTCATTTCCACCACGACGTCCGCTGCAAAGGTCACACCAACGTAGCACACCACCGACGTCCCGAAACTGACGTTCACCTCCACATCCACACGCACGTCGCGCACGCACAAGTCGGCGCCGTCGGTGCTCGGTGGCTCGGGGACAGCGACGGGCAGGCATGCATCGCCGTGGCCGCCCTCCGCGCACGTGCAGGCGCAGCCATCACTCGAGGCCGTCGTCGTGTACGAGGGGAAGCACAACGCCGCAAGGGTGCATGGGTCGCTGCAGTTCATAATAGTGGCGTTGTACACGGACGGAATGCTGTATTTCGCCCCCTCCTCGCCATTCACAGTGTTGCACGCAACCACAATCGCTCCGTTTGTGAGATCGCTGGAACTTTTGGGTATCCGCAGTACTGTCAGCGTGCCCGTGCTGGATAAAAATTGGTTGCCAGACACAGACATCGTGGAGCCGCGGAGATTCACCTTGGGGTTAATAAAGAGGAAAGCTTCCGATGGGGATTCACGGCAGAGGTTGCCGCTCAGCTGCAGCCAGGAGTGGTAGTAGATGTTGAAGGAG